TTTTAAAAAAAAGTATTTGAAATTTAAATAAAAAAAAAATCACTCTTACATTTCTTTTTAAAATTTAAAAGTATAATTTTTTTAATTAACACTGCTATATTGTTACGAATGTTGTTTTATTTTCAATCTCAATATATATAATAAGATTTATCATTTTTCAAAAATAGCAGGTCAAACTCTGGTCAAACTCAGTATGCATTTATTACATGCTATTAATAGCAACTTCTTTTTTTTGGTAATGAAAAAACGGATGAAAAATAGATGTTGCGCCAAAAAAGTGGAGCGCTATATTGTTACGAATGTTGTTTTATTTTCAATCTATATATATATAATAAGATTTATCATTTTTCAAAAATAGCAGGTCAAACTCTGGTCAAACTCAATATGCATTTATTACATGCTATTAATAGCAACTTCTTTTTTTTGGGAATGAAAAAACGGATGAAAAATAGATGTTGCGCTAAAAAAGTGGAGAGATTGTTTATTTTATTTTTTATTTTTTTTTTTTTTGTAATGAAAAAATGGATGAGAGATAGATGTTGGGCTAAAAAAGTGGAGATGTTGTTTATTTAGTTGCACAAGATAGACTTACTTTTTCATTTTCACAAAATCAAAAAACTTTTTTGTAACAGAAACCACTCATTCATCTTTTTTTTTTTGATAAAAATATTATGGTTGATTTAATAATAAAAATTTACTTTTTCATTTTCATAAAATCAAAAAACCTTTTTGTAACATAAAATCGTGTACCACTCATCTAATCTTTTTTTTTTTTGGATAAAAAGAAATTATGGTTGATTTACTAATAAAAAATTACTTTTTTAGTTTAAAAAAATCGGTAACTTTTTTAACATCAAATCGGCTAATAAAATTGTCTTAAATGGCGACAATTATTTAAATTACGGCTTATTTAATAATCAAAGCATTGGGGGCAAATATGGGAATTTGATGTTCTTTCAGTATATATATCAAAATTAATTGAAAAAAAAATAATAAACTTATACTTATCAAGTAAATAAAAATTTAATCTATTAAATTTATTACATATGAAATAGAAAAATTATTATAATATAAAACCGAATAATAGTACAAGTAAAAAAAATACCATTTTAACTATAAATAATAGTGTAATTTAAAAAAAAAAAAGTATTTGAAATTTAAATAAAAATAAATTCACTCTTACATTTCTTTTTAAAATTTAAAAGTATAATTTTTTTAATTAACACCGCTATATTGTTACGAATGTTGTTTTATTTTCAATCTATATATATATATATAATAAGATTTATTATTTTTCAAAAATAGCAGGTCAAACTCTGGTCAAACTCAGTATGCATTTATTACATGCTATTAATAGCAACTTCTTTTTTTTGATAATGAAAAAACGGATGAAAAATAGATGTTGCGCTAAAAAAGTGGAGAGGTTGTTTATTTTTTTATTATTTTTTTTTTTTGCATTGAAAAAACGGATGAGAGATAGATGTTGGGCTAAAAAAGTGGAGATGTTGTTTATTTAGTTGCACAAGATAGACTTACTTTTTCATTTTCACAAAATCAAAAAACTTTTTTGTAACAGAAACCACTCATTCATCTTTTTTTTGATAAAAATATTATGGTTGATTTAATAATAAAAATTTACTTTTTCATTTTCATAAAATCAAAAAACCTTTTTGTAACATAAAATCGTGTACCACTCATCTAATTTTTTTTTTTTGGATAAAAAGAAATTATGGTTGATTTACTAATAAAAAATTACTTTTTTATTTTAAAAAAATCGGGAATTTTTTTAACATCAAATCGGCTAATAAAATTGTTTTAAATGGCGACAATTATTTAAATTACGGCTTATTTAATAATCAAAATATTAACTAATTAATTTTTTATAATTTTTTTTCTACCATTAAATATGGCAACTATGTTTTGATTGCGCTTACTCAATTGTTTTGTTTGACAAATATTTTCACAAAAAATAATATACACCTACGAAAATTATGAAATCGTTCATTTTAATAATCAAAATATATTAACATTTTTTTCTACCATTAAATCTGGCAGCATTGAATGTTGCCCTTTAAATGTGGACTTTGTTACCTTTTAGATAATAATTTTGTCTTAATCTCAGTTAAATATAAGATAAATATCATTTTATTTGTAAAATTAATAAATCTGCATATAACGTGTAATTGTATGCCTACAAAATTTCTTTTATGGTAAATAAAAAATAATAATATTTTGAAAATATTTTGTACTCAAATTACTTAAAAATAGTAATAATAATAATAATTTTGAAATCTTATGTACTCAAATTTTCAGGTACCGTCATAATCATGTCAATATTTATTTTATATATACTATGTAAATTTTCTCTCAAAAACATTATAATGTCCTTATTTAAACTTATAATATTATAGATATTTTTATATAATATTTTATCATGTCATATTCTATCTATATATACAAAAACATATACACATATACATATACATATTAAATTTAAATATTTTTAACAATGTTTTCTTTACCAACAAAAAAAAAAAAAAAAAGTTTAAAAACCACCTTTCATGCAAAAAGTGAAAGTTAATGTTTTTAGACATGTTTTCTTTCTTAGAAAAGTTATAGGTGATTTCACATCTTTTAATAACACTATAGAAAATTTTAGATATTTTTACATATGTTAATATAATATTTTAAGTGTTTGTAATATTTTAAACATACAAATTTTATCTTCTTTTGTACAAACTAATTTCAGATTGTCTATAATAAATTGATATACGGTAAATTATATCAGATGTTAACGCACATCTTTTATTTGTATAACATCATCTTTAATTTATAATACTTTTTCTTGCTCTTTTAAGAAATGATGGTTTCCCACTTCTTTCACGGGGTGACTCGAACTCCAGACCTATTTATAATTATTATTTAATATTGTTTATCCGTGCATCGTACGGGATACGCACTAGTTAAAAGAAAAAGAGTTTTGATAAGTGGACCTTAATGATAAGATTATGTTAGCTTAGCCAACTTTCTACAAAATATGAAATTTCATAGATTAAATATAAATTATTTGAATAAAGTAGAATCAACCGATTCTATATAGTAACGATTAATTATTATTAATAAATAAAAGAGATAAATATGAGCTTTGATGAATAGTATTTTTTTTTAAAAAAAAAAAGAAATTGCATGACGATACAAAATGACAAAAAAACTTATATCCAATTCCTCATATATAAGCAAACTTTAAAGTTGATGTGATATAAAAATTATAAAATATTATCTTATAGTGATAGATTAAAATATTTGAATTGTGAATGGTTTTTCTTTATTAAAAAATATACAATAATAATTATTTTTATTTTTAATTGTGTTGCTAAAATTATAAAAGAACAATTGAATAATATTTATTATAAAAAAAAATCATGTTGATATCATTTTTAATTATACAAAAAGACATTCCTTGTATGAATTGATCAAATTGTACAAATAGTTTATATGTCTTGTTTGGCCATTAGTCGATAGCCAAACAATTTGTTTATAACAACTGGTTTAATTTGAATATCGTTTTGTAAATAATTGTTTGATAAATAATAATTGTTTGATAAATATAGTAGAGTAATGCTTCCCTACCTACAGTTGACACATGTTAATATGTTCACGGTTTATGTGACATGTACACATTAGTGATGTTAATATGTTCAAAAAATACATCACCAATCATGTCAGATAAGTAGTGGTCATATTAACATGTGCCCACCACCGTGGGTAGGGGAGCATTAATTATTTGCAAATCTTAGCAAAGATAATTCTTGAGCCAAAAAATATTCATTTGGATCTTGGGCCTGTTCTTAGTGGATTCATCTTTATTAGTCTTTCGGCCCAACCCCGACAGCCCATCTGGTAAAGTTAGTATCAGTTGATCTTGAATATGGGATAGTTGATATGTTGGTTTCAAGCATATTTTCACTGTTATTTCTCAAAGTTAATTCATTACAATTGCATCTGTTTGTTGTCATAAAATCATACAAATTTAATTGATGGCAGGGCATTTGTTCTGTTTGCGTTTGAGAAGCACAAACAAGTTGAACTCTGGTATCGACACGAATCGAACCCAGTTCTTGCGGAGTTTTTCGAGGAAAAGCTCGAACACTTGGTCTAGGATTTCGTGCCCAAAGTG